AACGCACCAAAGCGACTGAGAAAAACTGTAAATGCAGCATGGTTGTTGGTGCCAGATGGGCTGGTCGGAGTATTTCAGAGACCTGTGATCGAATGGGATTTTCACATATCCAGTCATTGGAAGTTCTGTGGGTGAAAATGGTTCTAACTGATTCGAACAGATAAGAAAGCAACATCAACTCACATAACAACTCATTAGAACCAAATATGCAAAGGAGTATGTCTGAATGCACAACACCTTGAAACAGACAGACAGACAGACAGACAGACAGATAGACAGACAGACAGACAGACAGACAGACAGACAGATAGATAGATAGATAGATAGATAGATAGATAGATAGATAGATAGATAGATAGATAGATAGATAGATAGATAGATAGATAGATAGATAGATAGATAGATAGATAGATAGATAGATAGATAGCCTCCACAGTCAACAGATCTTCTTCAGATCAGAGCACCTTGAAAATGTGGTAGAAAAGGAGATTCACATCATTGATGTGCTGAGTAAATATTACGGATCATATCAATATAGAAATATCTCAGGAGGTTCTAGCACCTTGCTAGAATCTATATCGAAAAGTCAGATATTAATATTTACAGAACTTATTATTACATGAATAACAGTTATAGCACACAATAACAGGAGAAGATGGATGTATCTATTCATTAAGTCCTCTTTTGAAGCCTCAAGATGAGCATATTTGCTTTTGCTAAAAAAAAGAACCCAAAAAAACATATGTGATGAGAAGGGACAGCCTGACTTTGCCCATTAACTAATTAGTTGTGAGTGACAGCCCGTTATTGAATGAGTTTGTGGTTTCATACCACAGATAACCTTTGATTTTTAAACATGGTATGACCAAGATTTGGAAAATAGACTTAATTCTTCTTCACTATGACCCAAAATGAGTGACTGAGCCCATAACATCAGTGTTTACAGTGATTAAGATTCACATCGATTTCCATTGCATCGAAAGTCTCTTTGGAACCACAGCTGTCACCATCTGTCACAACCTGGAAGATGCATATGTCTGGAGGGTCTAATGTCTTTGGACCCTCCAATTGCTCAGTCATGCAGCAGACTAATATTTAATTTTTACACTGTAAATTTAGCTTTCGGTTATTTGTATTCGAATTTGTCATTTTAGGATGCGTTTTACCGATTACTGGGGAAACCTTACTCCAAAATCTACCATCACATATCAGGCTTAATGTTTTCTGTCATGTTGGAATAAATACATGGCTCTACTCAAGATTTCTGGGTACTGCAGCCAGCTGAATTTCAAATATCCACAGTATCTCTTGCAGGCATCTGAGGCCACAACATGTGATATTTTCTAATGTGGTTTTAAAACGAAATGAAACTTCCTCCAAATATGAGTTTAGTCCTTCAGAGTGTCAACCTGCAGTCACTGCTCAGGGACGACTTTCCCCTCCGGTCCACCTCACAAGGAGCAGAGATCTGACCTTAATCTCAATTTGGGCCTCCTGCTAGGCTGCGAATTAAATCAGCTCTATCCCCTAGCATGTGCGTGTGTGTGTGTTCATATGTGTGTGTATGTGTTAAGAGGGCAACACCATATGGCCAGACTGATCATTAGGGAGGCTGCCGGAGGCAAAAACCGCTGGAGCTACTCTCCTTACACACATTTACACACACTCACATTTACACACACACACTAACTCGCTCGCTGAGTGTCACAACACATCGTGCTTGGAGGCTGTGACGGACCAGTGCACTTAAGCTTTTTCCTCGCACACAAACGAGCACACACACTCTCCAGTGTCGTAATGAAGGTCCTCCATGTCTCCACAGATGGTGTTTGTCTCCTAAAGTCTCATTGGTGCCGGTAAACAGAGAGCTAGCCGGACCAAGACAGACCTGCCTCTGGGCCCTGAACATACATCTGTGTGTGTATGTGTTTGCCATGTTTACCATGTCCCTATGTGTGTGTGTGCTGGCATTTCTTCAGTTCATCAGGAAAGTAGAGGGAAAGCCAACAGAGGAAAGACAAGGAAAGGAAAGAGACTAGAGAATGAGATGGAAAAGCAACAGAAAGATGAAAGAAGTGAAGGGAAAGAGGGATGAAAGTAGATTATCAAAACAAGTGGACAAAAAGCCTAAAGAACAGACGGAAGTAGGAGGAGAATAAAAGATTTGGGAGGAAGATACATGAAGGAGAGTTAAGGAAGGAAGAAAAGACTGTGGCAAGAAAAAATAATCAAAGGAAGAAAACAGGACTGCATAGCAAAGCTGAAAGAAATGGTAGGCTAGAGGGATGGAGGCACATGGAGAAAGCAGGAAAGAAAGAAAACTAAAGAGCCGTCAATGTGAGAAGAGAAGAAGGAGAGGGGGAAATTAGTCAAGTTGGATGTATACACTGTGGTTCGTGTAAACTCATCTTCAAAAACTGGTCACCAAAGCATTTAAGGCAAAGATGCAAGTCACCGAAAAAAGTGTATTCACATTATAAGAAAATGGAAATCTACATTTTTTTCCATAATTTAAAAACTGCTGTTTCAGTTATTTTATGTTTGATTAAACGGTTGATAAGCTGTCATGAGTCCTACGAATGTCACCAAGAGTGGGTCTCCTCCATTTACTGGGAAGTCAGTATCGCCTCATTGACTGAAGGTTATTTTACTCTGCTGAGCAGAATCATTAATATGTTTTCAGCTTAGAATAACATCAAGATTCGGCATTTGGGAGCCGGAGTAGTAACATGGATTAATCCACTTGACCCTAGATATTAAATATAATTTTCTTTTTTTAATGTAGAACTCAACACAACAGGTCTCATTCACCCAATGTTTTTATCTAAGTGCTTTCTTTCTAACTTTAACTCTCCAATGAATGAATCACAAGCAGATCTGGGTTCAGTCTGTTTCAGGGAGACTGGAGCAGCCAGGGATCGAACTACCAACCTTCCAATTAGCAGATAATCTGCTATACTTCCTTAATTAAAACTAGCCAATATAAAGTTTCTGTTTTGGACTTTACTTGCATTACATGACATCATTTTCATTTTTACAAGCTTTTTGATTGGGGTTAGACATCAAAGCAGTTAGCAAGACATAGAAAAATATTGTGGCATCAGTTCAAAGAATCATTTTTAATACTTAGAGAACTTATGGAAAAAACTGTGTATTTACAACACACATTGAAATAAAAGCCAACCATAGTTTTAGTCTGCAAAATCACTGAACATGTGATTGAAAATATTAGTAGAAATAGTAAAGGTAAAAACTACAAAAGGGTGTTTCGCTTTGCTTTCATTATTTTAGGACAAACATGGGGTTGGTGGGATGAAGGAGTCAGCTGGGGACAAGGTGAGAGGCAGTTGATTTGCTGTGGCGACCCTTAAAGGGAGCAACTGAAAGAGGACTTTGCTTTTGTTATTCTCCTTCTGGAAAATCCTTTTGTCCCTGTGACATTTGTCGGGTAAATCCACCAAGAACAACGCATGATGCCGTTAAAGAACAGTGCTCTCAGAAGTTTGCCACTTTCTGTTGCGACCAGTCCTTCAGGAGCAGAAAAAAAAGCAGGAAGGAGACCAAAGATTGCAGGAAGAGATGGGATCAAATGGCAGACAATAGAGAAATGAAGAAATGACAGTTTGTAACCGTGTCAGAGTTGAAAGTGAGTCGATGTCCCAAGTGAGCTGCTGTTCTTGAGGCGTTGTTTAGTAGTGAGGGTAACTGAAGTGAGAGTGAGCGGTACTGCAGACATCATAACTGGCTGCTGTGGTGAGCGGAAAAAGCTGCAGACTGAACAGTCAGTGTACATTCAGGCCATCACCTGTGGTCATGACTGAAAATATGTGGTTGCAAATAATATATGAAATTAGTTTCCTTATGTGGGTTCCCACCACATATCTGAAGTCTTTACTCTTTCTCTGAGTAGAGCAACAGCTACATTTTTGACAGCAGAGGTGAGAGAGTGGCATCTGATCAGGATGCATTTTCAGTACCTTTCACTGGACCCTCGGGCCGACTAAAGGCCGACTCGTGTCCGACTCATCTGTTCTGGAAACACAATGGAAAATGTGTGAGAGTTTCAGTATACAAGAAGTGTGTCTATTCATACTATCCAATTTAAATGGACCTAAATCTTAAATAGTCACAACAGAATAACCCAAGTTTCTGCTGTAACAAAAAGCACATCTTACTTTAATTCTGAGCCTTTCTGTAGGTCTCTAGAAAATTAATTGCGTGATGGGGAAACGACTGTTTGTGTGAGGAGATTTTGAGGAGGCCAAGGTATTAATAACCCCAACTGTAAGAGAAATACCTGATTCTACTGAAGAATTTGACCAGAAAGCTTATATTATGGCTTCTTACAAAACCTCATTTTATTATAATTCTGTGTGCAGAGGATTAAGGGTTTTCTCAATCCACAGTTTGAGTCTTACCTCAATTTTTGGTTCACATTTTTGGTTAACTTTTTTTATTTTTTAAAGGGGCATAGATAAGAAAAAAATGGGAGACATTTTTACCACAGTGATAATCACTTGACTGTGACTGATCTTTAAAAATTAGAGCTTTCATCAGACTAGCACCACAGGAAGAGCATTTGCATAACATGAGACGCTGGTCATTAGTGTTGCAATTTTAGTATCACATCTATACACTTATATGTAATTATGATAACTTAATATTTTATAAAATGTCAAAAGATTCTTTATTTATGCCCCCGTTACCAGGCGAAATTTTAGTTTTAGAAAGCCCAACTCGTACTCTACCAAAGCAAAAATGCAACACAACAATGATGCATTCAACTGATATGAGTGATAGTAGCATATACAACTCTTCACCAGATGTGCTGGATTTTGCAGCCTTCTTATTTCAATAAAATTAAACAGTCCTTTTTGGAAGCAACAGGAACATCATCCTCCTCCTACCTTTGTCTCCAGAGCTAAGCAGTATGATCGGATAAATCAGTTTCGTAGAAAAGATTTTAAAAAACTGACAAGTGCTTAATGTCTTCCATCCAGGTGCTAATGCCAAGCTGCGCTACCAGATCACATCAGGAAACACCATGGGCACCTTCGACGTGGAACCTGAAGTGGGCACCATCTTTGTGGCTCAACCTCTTGACTATGAGATGGAGCAGCGCTACGAGCTCCGGCTGGTGGCCTCAGACGGGAAGTGGGAGAACGAGACACTGGTGGTCGTTCAGGTGGTAAATCGCAACGATGAGGCACCAGTTTTTAGCCAGACCGAGTATCACGCTGCTGTGATGGAAGAACTCACCCAGCTTCCTGTTTTCATCCTAGAGGTTAGCGAATCTGTTTGTGTCGTATTAAAAGTTACTTAAAGGACTCTTATTAGTCATTTTAGATCGGATTATGTTCACTATAATCAACTCAGTTGTGATTTTAAAACACTGACATTAGAATAGACAATGCGGTTTTTCAAGTTTTAGTCGCGTCGTAAAAAATTATACAAAATCATATATAATTAAACAGCAATTTATGTTCTTAAGAATTTGACATTTCCTTTTCTGGTGATGCTTAGCGGGAATTTTTATGACTTTTGCAATGCAACAGACAGAGCAACTGCTAAAAGGAGTCACACTCACAGCATTGTCTTTTTCAAATTCTTACAAACGGTTTAAGCTGAATTTGATTGGCTGCTCTTAGGAAACTCCCATAAACAGAGCTGAGCTCAGCCAAGAACCCCAAATAGAGCCAGACTAAGCTAAGTTCTCTTTGTTTTCCACTACTAATAAGTGCCAAGTTTTTACTCTTTTCACACAACAAAATAATGGATTAGTCAATTTATGACCATATACAGCGTAACTACAAAACACATGAATGGATGGATTGATGGCATGTTTTCATTTTTTTTGTAACTGTTAGCCATTAGCTTTAGCCTCTAGCCTTAAGCACTGATCACATGTCCACTCAGTCCAGATGAAACTGTTTAACATATAAACTTGAGAAAGTAGCACCTCCCAAACATACCTTTAAGATAAAGGAGTTTATTGTGAAAATGTTAGTGTTTATATGAACAATATGTGAAAATGTATCAGATGTACTGGAAACAAACCTAATTGTGTTTGTTACATTAGGAACATCGAGCTGTATTAGCCTGGAGCAAAAACCTACCTGAGATCAAGTGACCACATACTAACACATCGCACATGTATGAAATTGGTTAGCACAATATTAGCTGACAGAGGCGCCAGTGTTTAACCAACCAAAACCTCCTGACAGGAACTGCCTGCCATTTGAAAAGTTGCTTCAGAAAAGTCAGAGTCAGCCTCCTCCTCCTGTGGCTTTCATTTCGTCACACCTATCACCGGTAATTCACAGTAATATGCATGTGCCGCCAAGCTAAATCAGATTAAAAAGGTGGAAGCGCGTCTGGGAGGCCAGGGAAGTAATCTCTGTCAGAGAGGCATGTGTCACCAAGCCCTCAACCTGGGCCTACTTCCCCTCGCCTGCTGGAATTGATTTGATGTGCGTTTGGTTCCTCTCTAACGCTCTCGATAGTTTTTTCTGCTACGCGGTGACCAGGGCCTCCCTCAATGCCCGCCACTTTCAGCCCTTGCCCTCAAATATAATTCAGCAGATAGCGAACAGAGGGGAAAATCCAATTTGAAATGAATATTTTTTGACTTCACCTGCGCAGCAGCCTGCTCTGCGGTGCCGCGGCTGCTCATCTTCAATATTGTGTACCTGCATCACGTTGTCAAGAAATGCAAAGAACCCACATGGGGGAGGTGGCTGGGGAAGGGAGGAAGGGGGGATGACTTCAAAGCCTTCTGTAAACAAACCCTCTGGTGAGAAAAGAGGAAGAGAAAGGGTAAAAGTGTACTTTTTCTTGCTTTTGTCTGTGTCTATTAACTTTTAATTGCATTGTGTGTCTCCTTGACAGATGTGAGAGCTCGTCTCGTTTCTGCTGCTCTTGTCCCCTTGTTCAGAGAGATAGCAGGAAGGCTGGTTAATTAAGCAAACAGGACAAAGCAACTGAGAAATGTTTATTCCTGTGTTGGCAAGTCCCCTTGTGCAGGGGCAGCTGCTGCAATCAGCTCCCTGCCTCGTGTCCTATTTGTTGGGCTTGACATTTGTACATAATGAACAAGCAGTTCAGCTTTTTTAATAAGAAACTGCCTGATGTATAAAAGAACAATAAAAAAAACTGTTTCTTTAAAGAAAAAAAATGTTATTGAATGGACTTGCGACGACAAATGTGACAGCTTGCGATTAACTTTTGCTGCAGTCCTTCTATAATGAAGCCACTTTTTTAACAAGGAAATGTTCAGTTGGTGTTTTTTGATGATTATTTTTTATGTATTTGTAATTTTTTAAGTTTAAAATTATTTTCAACATCATCAAAAGCTTGATTAGTAAGTCTGCAATAAGTTTCGTGCTTTAATTCTGAAGACATTTTCAGCCCTTTTTCCACTTTTCCAATTTAAAAATGGGGACTAGTCAGCATTTCATACACAAAAGCACTTCAAATAATTTGAATAAAGATCTGATGTTATAAAATGCAGCATCTGGCTTAAAGCCCAGAATACAGTTCATGCATCTGTGTGTCCAGAGGAATCTGGGTGACATAAATTTTGTCATCTCGTGCAGAAACAGGTTGTCAAAGGCTCTGTGAAACATCAAATTTTAAAACAGTTCCTTAAGGTAAACCATAGCAGTTAACAATAATGGTATCTGTTAAAGTATGTGCTCCTGGTAAATGAAAAAGTTAGGAATGAATATGTTTATTTACGCTTAACAACATAATACTTTAGGATATTAATGTGAGGGACCATTAGTATTGGTAATACTGTGATGTTAACAATATTGATATTGTGGTATGGCCACCTTTATATTTCAACACAACCTGAACTCTCTTAGCCAAGCTTTCTCATCATTTCTTTAAGTGGTCTTCAGGCTTCTTCAAGGACATTCAAACCTCTTCTTTAGATGTTGGCTGCCTTCTATTCTGCTTCAGTAATGTTGAGGTCCAGACTCTGGGGAAATTCCATTGTTTGTTTTTCCATCTAGGTATATTTTATTGCACTGGCAGTGACTTTGCGACCATTGCCATGCTGAAAAATGAAACTATTTCCAATCAGACAGGCTAGAAGGCAATGTGTAAATGAAAATCTGATGGTGTTTTTCTGCGTTCAAAATTCTGACAAATTTTGACAAAATCCCCAACAACAGTAACTGAAATGCAAACCCAAACCATCACAGAACCTGCAGTTTTTGCAGACTGCTAGTTAAAAAATGTGCCCAAAGATAGTTCTTTGCTAAGCTATCCGTTATGTGTGTATGCAACACTGGTTCATCCATGGAGTTATAGATGGGCTTTGTTATGCTTAAATGTCACAGGTACAGGGCATTTCGTTGCCCTGTACCTGTGACATGTGCAATGACAATAAAGTTGAATTCTAATTCTATTCTATTCTAATATTCATTGGCTTAGGAAAAAAAAAACAATCATCTGAAAATGATCAGGTACAAGAAGTGGATTGAAAATGAGTGAAGAAGCAGCCAGTGTGCAGAAAGCCTGGAGAACTATTGCTTAAGACCACTTTAAAATATTTCCAGAAAGCCTGGCTCCTTGAAAGAAATCAGGGGAAACATTTACACAGTGCTTTATATCACCTGGAAATTTCTAGTAACACTGTGACTAAAACAGCAAGCTTGATCTTTAATTTTTAATTTGAACTACAAACTCAGTGTTTTGAGAATTTTAGATTTTATTTTACTGTTATATTTCTGTGTAATTTTTGTAGGTATCAGCTACAGATCCCGATCAGGAAGCTGACCAGAGTGCTCTTCGCTATTCCCTCCATGGCCAGGGCGCTGGTGGTGAGTTTACCATTGATGAGCGCACTGGACGAATCTATGCTCAACGTCGACTGGACCGCGAGGAGCGCCCTGCCTGGAGATTCCTTGTCCTCGCCACAGATGAGGGAGGGGCAGGTCTCACAGGATTTGCTGATGTACTTTTAGAAGTCAGAGACATCAATGACAATGCTCCCTTCTTCCCCTGCCCAGCACTGGAAGTAGATGGTTGTTTTGTTGGTCAAGTGCCTGAAAATTCACCTGCAGACACATCCGTCATGGAAATGCGTGCCATGGATCTGGATGACCCCAATGAGGGCAGGAATGCCTTGCTCACATACAGCATCATCAAGAACATTCGCAACGAGATCAACCTCAACCTGTTCTCTATCAATGCCACTACGGGCACCATCTACACAGTACTACGCTCTCTGGACAGGGAGATGGAGGACCGGTATCTGGTAGTGGTGGAGGCCCGTGATGGAGGGAGTTTGGCAGGGACAGGGACAGCCACCATTATGGTTTCAGATGTCAATGACCATCCACCCATCTTCACTCAGAGACTCTACAATACTCAGGTGAGTCAACCTCGCTAACCTTCTTTAAACATTTACATTTATTTTACCAGTGATGCATGTAAATAGATCACTTACTTCTATGTGTTGATCAGGTGACTGAGGACCTTGAGGTGAATAGCGAGGTTCTTGTAGTTTCTGCCACAGATGGAGATGAGGGCGAGAATGCTGTGGTAACCTTCAGCATTGTAGGTGGTGATGAAAACAGAAAGTTCTTTGTGGAGACAGACAAAGTGAATCGACGTGGCGTAATAAAACTTAAGAAGAAAGTTGACTTTGAGAAGCCTAACGAAAGGACTTTCAATCTGACCCTGAAGGCCGAAGATGCCGATTTCTTCAGCCTCGCCTATTGTCTCATTCAAGTGGAAGACTCCAATGACCATCCTCCTGTCTTCTTTCCACAATTCTATGAGTCACCAGCTATGTCTGAAGATGTGCCAGTGGGGACAATTGTTGCTCAAGTTACAGCTTCTGATCTAGATTCTGGCCAAAATGGGCGTTTCTCTTATAGTATATCCAAAGAGTCAGATCCCTACAATCAGTTCCTGGTGGACCAGTCTGGTTGGGTTGTAGTTGCTGATTCTTTGGACAGGGAGAAAATTTCACAGCACAGGATCATGGTCTTGGCTACAGATGCAGGGAGTCCCCTCCTGACTGGCACTGCCATTGTTGTGGTGACTGTACTTGATGTTAACGACAACGGGCCAGAGTTTGAGGTCCCCTACAAGCCTGTTGTTTGGGAGAACACAGCTGCACCTCAGCCAGTGAAAATGAATGAAACCTCCTTGCTCCTTCATGCCACCGATCGCGACACCTCCACCAACAGTGGGCCATTTTCCATACGGCTTCTGATGCTCACCTCAGACGCCACCAACTTTAACCTGACGGACTTTCGGAACGGAAGCGCAGCCATCACCGCGCTCCGCGCTTTTGATCGTGAGCGGCAGAAGGAGTACCGCCTCCCAATTCTCATGATTGACAGCGGCTCTCCTCCAATGAGCTCTACTAGCACGTTGACAGTTGTGATCGGCGACAGGAATGATCATCCCCACTCACCTGGACACACCAACTTTATTGTCTACAGTTATGAAGGTATGTTTTGTTTTTATCTAATTCAATGAGGTTTCCAATGCTTAATTTTTGAGACTAGCTCCATGAAACCTATATATTATTACATAATTTGGTTCCAAATGTCCATGATCAAAGCTACAGAGTTTGCTGAGGTTTATGAAAATAGGTTCTGAAGTCCTAGTCTGTGAAAAAAAAGTTTTTTTTTTCATGGCCATGATCAAATAAAACTACACACAGATCACATGAAGCGTGTTGTGTCAAAAAAAAGGGTTGATTTTAGATGTGACGGCAAGTTTTTCATTGTTCACCACTATTCATCTGTTGCATCTATGACATTTTCATTCAGTGATCTCATTGTTGTCCCCGAACAGAGAAAATTAAACGTGGGCATGTTTCACTAAATGTGCCGAATGCACAATGTGATTTGCGAAAACAAAGTGTTTTTGTTCATCGCGATGCTTTTCATTTGTAAAAACAGTAAGCATGCAAGAGCCCTGTAGGGTCTGTAAATTTATCTGTAATTTGTGAAACATAATGCTGCTAACATTTGTGGTGTGAACAGTAGCTGCAAAAACTGTGAAACTGGCCCCAGGCTTTTCTCTGATTTAGTGAGGCATCAAAGTGAACCAGTGTAAACTAGCTGCACACTGATGAAAACTGATTGAAAACTGGAAATTGATGAAAACACGATGTTTAAATAAATGTGTGCTGTTTGTATCCACAAAATTTAGACATTCATTTGGTTTTGGATTTTTCTTTCATGAGAGTCTCACCGTTCAGTCTAGTATTTTACACTCCACTGGAGAAAGTTTGGGTGTACTATTGCTTGAACACGCCTTTACCCCAGAACATAATGTATTATATTATATTGTCCCAGTTAAAAGTTCCCTGGTCACTCTGAGGGATTCAGCATGGTTTCTTTTTAAACCTTTAGGTCTCTATTATCCCACCCTATCACATAAAAATCTCCTCACATCAAGCGTTTAATGCACTGAGTGGCCCTTTAGTGCCATTTTTCAGTGCAGTGTTTAGGGTCTTCACCCGTACTTTCATTTTTCCACATAAGAAAAAAATAAGGATGCAGTTGAGCTGGTAGAAGGCATAATCACACAACTACAACCAGGAGGGTAGCTCGGTCGATCCCCAACTTCTCCAGCCTCATGCCGAATTATCCTCAGGCAAGTTGCTAAACCCCAAGTTGCCCCAGATGCATTCATCGAAGGGCGAGTATGTGTGCGAATGTTAGGAAGCTAGGTATAGATTAAGCTCTGTATGAATGTGTGTGATTGGGTAAATGAGACTTGAGGTAGAAAGGCGCTATATATCACCATTTATCATTTACAACAAATCTGAGATGCCTGCCTTTTTGTTCTGTCACTATTTAGGTTTAGGAACAGATTGTGTTTTATGCTCTTTCACAGCATTAACCACACATTACAAGTCAAACTTCTCCCATTTGCAGCAAGCATCTCCTCAGTTTTCTTGGTCACCATATTGATGCGTCCTTCAACAGCAGAGCACATTTAATTATGGTCTCTTGCTGTCTCCTTCTGACATTTAGGGACTTTTTAAAGTCCGCCAGACTGCCTTCAATATTGAAAAATGACACTAAAGCGTTACCCAGTATGTTTTAACATGTGACACCTGCAGGTCCTGACCAAGCGTCAGTATGTAACGTGTTGGGAGTGAGAACGAGTTGCCCTCCCACCACCTTCTGAGCGCTCTCCACTCATGTTGTTAAAACTGTACTTGTCACAGTCAACTGCTCACAGCCTCCTGCTCCAGCCCACATCACTTATTTAGCGTTTCATACCATCTGTCGGCCCTCTGTAATTTGCTGGAAAAACTAAGGTATTCTGTAATGTATTTTTAGTGGATTCCCTCTCGGGGGCCTTTCCACATGAAAGTGCATTAACCTGCTAATATGAATCCATCACGTACCTTAACAACATACCATGAAGCAAACAATTAAGACCAGCTTAAGTCCCGGGTTTGATGAGCACATAAACAGGAGGCTTTTTTAAAAGGCAGCTGATTTCACGGCTAAAGAGATTACAGAGCTGTGTTCAGCTTTTTTTGGAAGAGGGGGAAACTAATGCGTGAACATATTACTGCTGTGCCGTCAAACCATGACCGTGTGTGCCAATGAGGCATTGCCCGTCACCTTATCTCCTTAAAGAAGCCTCTACTTTTTTTCCTTCACTCTTAATATTTGGATTGTACCGGAGGGACCCTTTGTGCTCAAAACTAATTCCTCTCAAAGCTTATACATTTTTGGACGTTTTTGTTTCTTTTTTTTTTCCCACCTCCTGACAGGTATTCTCCAGACGACAGTGCTCGGACAAGTTCAATCCCCCGACCTTGATGACTGGAGTGAGAAAGTGTACTGTTTTGAAGGCAAACCAACCAGGTACTTTGATCTCATCAGCTGAAAACTCTGAGATGCCTGAAAGGTGACTTGCAGAAAGAGAGTGATGGAGGTGAAAGCACAGATGGATAAATTAAGTAATGCAAAAAGAAAAAGAAGGAGATATAGATAAAGTCAGAAGTATGGCAATAATATTGAAAATATAGAGAAAGATTATTTTAATTAAATCACAATTAAAGACAAAACAAAGAAAAGACAGGAAGGAAAAGAAGTAGAAGAAAAATTTGAATAAGGCCATTTTCCCACATGCACTGCAGCCCTGAACTTTTCTAGTCCTTCCCCAGCTGAGGCATATGTGAGAACACAAACGTTCATGGCAGTTAGATCAAGCATTAAATAGTTTTTGACCCTTCACCCCTTTAAAGTAAATCTTCATGTAATCGTCCTCAAGATGAGAATTTCCAGCAGTGCAAACACATCTGATATGATCTGCTTTAGTGCTCTAAATGTGAGGAAGTGCAACTTCAGATAATGTCCTTACCTGATCGTCTGGACCTTGTCTGGAGTTCAGCTTAAGTCACAGAGAATCATGCGTGTAAACACTTTGAGGACAGGAAAGAGATTCATGATGAAGAGAAGAGATGGAAACAGATACAGGCTGGTTCTTTTAAACATTTTGAATGTTCTCAAATGGAAATGCTGCTTTGTTTTAGGCAGGCAAATGCATTTTTTATGACTCCAGACAGGCTGCAGTTTCAATGTATTCCTTTGTAGCTTAGGATTGTGGTTGTGCGATATCGTAAGTAAGCAGTGACATTTCAAATCTGTTTGTTTATTCATCTAGTTAACGTACTACTCATAATTAAATAATAATGCAAACCTGATGTTCCTTTTGATTTTAATTTGCACAATAAGACTATAAAATATATCCAAAATGTAAAATTGTACCGTTTGCACCTTCCACTGGAAAACCAACGTAAATGTAGAATACAGCTCACGAAACTCTGAACAAGGAATGAAACAATTAAAACATGAATGACAAGACGATGTTTTTTGTTGGGATTAAAGATGTATGCACAATATCACAATATACAGTGTGATTTGGACCAATCTACACACTCCTGTTGAGCATATTATGACCAGTTTTGGATGAAAGAATCCAGAGAACGACAGATGTAAAGTAGTTTTACGATGTGTTGGGACTAATACAGAAAAGATTCCCTGCTAAAGTGTCCCTTCTCATGTGACACGCAGCAGCAAGAAATGCACAAGAGAAAAAGAGAGAAAATAAAAGAGCTGCACAGGAGCTGACAGATTTAAAATAAAGAGGGAGAGACAGTACAAAGGTGCCGCGCGACAAAGGGGAGAAAGGAAAATTGGGACAGAGAAACAGGGAGTTTGAAGGGGGAAACAAAGAAAGAGTGAAAGAGAATGAAGGGGAAGAGGACAGGAAGGAGAGAGATAGAAAAGGGGATCTGACTTGTCAGGAACAGTGCTATTAATACTTCATAACCAGCGGTATTGAAAATTCCCAGTGAAGCACGGCGAGGGCGCACTCATTTTGTTTGATGAGGCAAGGTTTCACGCGGACCCATTGAAAGGAGAGCCTGATTGCGCTCCCTGACACCTTTTCTTCTAATGAGATACCTGTAAAGAGGGACGACAAGAGACGACAAGAAATGGCCGAGAACAAAGGAACCACGAGAGAGAGAATTACCATAGATGCCCCTCATCAGAGCATACAGCAGATAGCAGTTTGTTCACAGTATAGATCAGCTTTAGGTTGAATGTTATTTACATATAAAAAGATACAATCTAGGGGAAAATATGAAAAAGCGTTCTGGTAAGGTGAAGGAGCCCGAGGGGCTAAAAACATCCATCCATTTGGACAGTGGGAGGAAGCCGGAGTACTCGGAGAGAACCCACGCAAACACGGGGAGAACATGCAAACTCCACACAGAAAGGCCCCGGCCTGATGGTGGAATTGAACTCAGGACCTTCTTGCTGTGCGGCAACAGTGCTAACCACCGTGCCACCGTGCTGGGCTAAAAACATGTCAAAGCTAAAAAAAAAAAAGTGCTATTTGGGGACATTCAGTAAATCACAAAACGCACAAAATAACCAGAAAACCTCAGCATTCTGCCTCAGCAGACAGCGATTTGTTTGGAATTGATCGGTATGCTATGTTTTCATTTGTTTCCTGTCTGTGAAGTACTTTGACATGTTTGGAAATCTCTCAAGCGTGACGGTATTCCAGGAGACAGTACATGAGAGCTTGTTTTGTAGCGGCAGCACAAGCACCGTCCGCAGACTCATTTTGGCCTCAGTTCAGTAACGCTTAATTAATTGGTCTAGTCTGAGCTCTGAAGGTCACTTCAGTGTGAAGAGGTTAAATATTAACATGAGCCAGCGGCACATGTTCTCCACAAGGTTTGGGATCCACTCTGTAGTGCAGCAGAGCAGAGATTGCCAGAGTTTTCCAGATCAAGAGTCCCCCCCACCGGCCTGGATCCATGTTCAACAGCTGACTTCCATCTGGTCAGAGTTTGATCTGACAAATCCCATCTGAGAAAGATTTTATCCGGATTGAAGATTTCACTGGGAACTTTATGAATGTGTTTGGTTTTCCAAGCACAAGGAACAGCTGAAATGTCTGAATTTGTATTTGCCTTATAACAATAAGTCCTTGAACTAATGCATTTTCTGCAGCAGGAATTCTGCTCAACAATTATAATATCCAACCTATCCATCATACCCTTAATAGACAGATAATAAATGGTTCCTTGCAAACAGACCTCCAGAGTGGAAGAGGTTAATAAAGTGTATTTCTGCACTGCTTTTTTTTGGAAATCCAGACATAAGTATTTATGTAACATACATAAATCAAAAATCCGAAACGGTACACACACTTTTTTTGCTGGGACTGAAAATAGCACCCGCTTCTTACGCAAGAAAGAAGCAGATATGATGTATTTTAACAAATATAATTCTAAGCAGCAACAGAAAATAAGTCAAACTAATCTTTCTTTCGCTCTCTCAGGTTGTTCAGTCTGAACCAGAGCTCAGGTCAGCTCAGTATTAGGGAGGGAACTCCTCCCGGCTCATACCACCTGCAGGTTCGTGTATCCGACAGCACCTGGCCAGACGTCACCTCCACCGCCCAAGTAGACGTCACAGAGCTGCACCACGTTGCCTTGCAGCGTGCTGCCTCCATCCGCCTGAGCAGTGAGTCCCAAAGTGAAGATGTCAGATTGTTAAAATATGAAAATACACTTGTTAACCTCAAACAAAACAGTTGTTAGTCATGGAAATGACTTAACAACATCTCAGCGCACTGACACAAGACGCACATTTACACCCTCCTGTGACTGTCGATGTGGCACAGTGCTTCAGGGTCTCAGTTTCAGGGCTGTCAGCTCGATCAGGCTCCATCAGCATTGGCACACAGACGCAATATTGGAAATAACTCCCTGCTCCTCTTCTTCTATCATCTCTTGTGTTCCCTGCTGTTTATTTTCAGCTCCATCTCTTCAGACTTTCTTGTCTCTTCCCTTTTTTCCTTCTGTTTTATTCACCTTTTCATTCAACTTGTAGTATCAGGATATTTCTGTCTGTCCGCTGCTTTTTATGCTGCCTCTAATTTCCCATGGTGATTTTTGAAGCTAGTAAACAAATCTGTTCTCCTCCCCTCCTTCTTCTTCTTCCAGACCTGACAGTGGAGGAGTTTTTCAGTAGTAGTGGTGGAGGTGAGAAGAGTCGCTTTTCCCGTCTGGGTCTGACGTTGGCTGAACTCCTGCAGACTTTGCCGGAAAACGTCCAGATCTTCTCTGTGGGTGATGCCAGCAAACATGGTGGGAGGGCGCTTAATGTTTGGTTTGCTGCCCACGGCTCTCCCTACTACAAGGCTGAGAAACTGCACGGCTACGTGGCAGCAAACAAGGCCAAGGTGAGGAAAGACTTAGAGTCTGGAAAATACACTTTAAACTATTTAAATGTAGGAATATAAATTATGTTAAATTATTATACTTTTTGGCATTTTTTCCACTCTCTCTAGTGTTTCAGTTGAAAGGTGGCATTTCTTGAGCACATTTTTGATGTTTAATAAAAATCCATTATTTACATTTTTCTTTGTAAGTTAAAAACCAGTTATTTAATCCAAAACCTTCAAAGGCTAATTTGTGATTTTTGTTACTGGAAATCTCAGGAACTTACTTTCTCTTCGGTCGGGAAAATCAAAGAGGAAGTGCCCCAATCCAACAAGCAAACAGATAATTGTGCAAAAGCTAAATAAAGTGAAGCAAGGTGAAGTGTGAAAACGTAAACGTGGTGAACTGACGGGAAAAATGAGCCATCCAGTTTACATCTTCAGCCATAGGATTAATGATGCATTAATTACACTCACATTCACATATTCATATGTGCAGTTCAACAGGCAGAGACATTTAACACAAAGTGTAAACTATTTCACACTCATGCACACCCACATGCCAGGAAAAGTGAAAAATTGATCATACATTAATATGTGGACATGTTGCTTCAGCATGTCTCTCTTCAGTGATACACCCACATATGCACGCACATACTTGCGTGCATATGTACACACTTGTATACTTTTATATGAAAATATACCATTAAAGCATTGGGAGCTGCTTCTGATCTCATTTCTGTGACAGGCAGGCAGATGATGGCAGTTGGTGAATCATATAAATATGCATATTAAATAAACACACTTGCGCAAACATAGACAGCCGAGCTAGATCAAATATCTAACTGTCAGCTGTCGCTCAGCTGACGTCTTGTTTAAAAGACTGCATAAAAGTTATGACACTGGCAAAGCAATAATGTGAATAAATCTATTAGGAGAAAGAGAGATTTGTAGCATACTGTAATATAACTGCAGTTCACATTAACATCTTCAGTTACTATATGCACTATGGGGTTCATAATTTGTATTTAGTTTTACTTCTGCTTCCAAGTGGCCAATAAAACCAAAATATGAGCAAAAACTGAAAAGTATATTACTAAAACAAAACCATCTAATATTACTGACAATGGAGCAAAAGATAGCTACAGAAATGTGTAATGTATTGTCGTAATACATGTCTGTACAGATATCAGTTTATACACACAGCTCGATTCAGTTCAGTTAATTCTGGTTCTGTTTAATTCGATTCACTTTTATTTATACATCGCCAAATCACAACCACAGTCGCCTCAAGGCACTTTATATTGTAAAGACCCAAAAATAATATAGATAAACCCCAACACTCAGACGAACCTGTATAAAGAAGCATTTGGTAACAGTGGGGAGGGGAAAAAAAAACTTTTAGCAGGAAGAAACATCTGGTTCAGCCTCAAGAAGGGGTAGCTATATGCTGGGGGATAAAGTGAATCAATATTACTGTACATATGCTCACATGAAGGAAACAGTGCAGGAAATTACACCAGAAAGCTATTTCACTCAATGATTAAATAATAGTGTTTAATAATACTGATAATATACACAGAAACACTACAGCACTGGGAATAAATACATAACACCAGAGACAGTATAAGAGAAAAACAAAACAGTCAAAGGAAGCTGAAAGGAAGATGAGAAAAACAACCTTTAACACCTTATTGCATGTGTTTTATTATCATATTGTGACTGTTTATGCAATAAATACACTTTTTTTTAATATCCTGAAAGTAAAGTTCATTTCAATCAAGGTTTAAATAATTGCCTGGTGGCATTACTGCTGATTAACTAGGCTTAGTTGTAGAAGTATAACACATAAGTACATAATTCCTTCCCACTTTGGTTACATAGCTGTCGGGGTGTCTTGATGATTTTCTTGAAGTATACAAATTTTCTACACTGTTGCCTTCTACAGCAGGGTATTAGCAGTGTTTTAGTTTTACTTTGTGCATAATGCTCATGTTAAGGCATAACTGCAAAACAAACTACACATTGTGTGTTTAGAAAAGCCTTCATATTACCAGAGATGCAAATATTGTTCAAATATTGAAGCTAACATAAATCCTGTCAAAGTGTCAAGACACAGATAGTTAGCACATCTCCAGCTTTAATGCAGCTTGGCTCAAAAGCCTAATCAGCACCTACAACAATAAAAATTTGTTAAAGTATAAATAACACAGCATGATTTAAAATAACTTCCATCAAATGCTGAAGATGAAAGGTACGTCTTTAATTATCTCAGGGTTAAGAGGAAAAGTGTCTTGGCTGATTTAGAACAAAAATGTCAGAGAGATACAAAGTCATCACGAAAAAAGACGATGTTGAAACTGGCTCTGGAGCCAAAATCTAAAGCCGTGCCTGGGGAGTGTAAGTCACAGTGGATGAGAGTGTCAGCTGAATAGCTAAACTCCAAAAAAAGAAATACACACAGTTGGAGAGAGACAGGAAACCCTGAGGGACTCTGATGAAAACCTCTCACCCCCTACCCCCCCCTCCAAAAAAGTAACAAAACGAGAGAAAAGAATCAGGATGACAAGCAGGGAAGCGAGTGAATTTGGCAACGGAAAGCAAATGACAGCAAAACTTTAAGAGGAAGGGAAAATGACAGAGAAACACCAAAGTGCATAAATAACAGTAAGGGAAATAGAGTAAATTCAGATTTCACTGATGCAGGTAGACATCAGATCAAAGACGTTTCCTGTCATTCTCTGAAATTCTCTAATATGTTCAAACAGAGCTCATGACTTCAATGCTGTTAGTTTGAGTTTGCTTTCCCCCCGTGCTAGTTTTAGTTTCACTCATTTCACACACAGTACTTAGTCTTATTTGAAGTTTAACGACACAGCACTTAATCTGTCTTGATGGGCTTATATTTGATTTTTAATTAGTTGTGTGCCATTTTTTATCTTCATTTCAGCTTTAGTTTTGTTTCCTCTGCTTAATCATAGGTCAGCTTTATACCTAACTGAATTGGACTCATCAGTTTAATCAAAGACAAAAAATGCCAAGGTATGAAACCTTGGTCCATGGGTTTGGACCAAACGCCAGCTTAAATTTTAGCTTCATGGTTGTTTTAGTTTTGGTTAGCCAAGCTTATCCTAGTTTCGAGGATACCTACAATCCTACAATGTGGAAAATAAAGTTTTCACCTGAGCAGTCCTATAAAAAACTAAGTACACATTTATTGTTTCTTTTAGAAATCGCTACACTTGCAGAAGCAAATGAAACTACAGAAGGTGTGTTATAGGTGTGTATTAAGACAGTGCCACAATCTTCCTAGCAGCAGGAATCCCAAAAAATCTTCCCTAGGGTCAGGCTCTGAAATGTTCAGAGAAACTACAAGAACTACATCTGAGACTTCACAGCCTTGGGTAGAATGTTAAATGTTCAAGTTCATGACAGTAACGTTATAAAAAGATTGAACAAATATGGCTTGTTTGTCAGGCTTTCCAAGTGAAAACCTCTTTCTGAAAAGAACATGGTAGCGCAGTTTAGTTTTGAAAAGTTGCATCTACACAAAAGACAAGCCTCTTGGACAGATGACCAAAGGCAGGGTTTGGCAATAATGCACAGTACCGCATTTGACAAAAAACAAACACAGGATATCAACACAAACACCTCATATCAATTGTGGAGCACACTGATGGAGACTTGTTGATTTGGGTTTGGTTTAAGGGCCACAGAACCTGGTCAGTACACTCTTTGAGCTGATCGTGAACTCCTGTCTATATCAAAATATTCTACAGTCAATTGTTTTCACAGGTTTTTGTTCCATGAAAAACTAAGTACACTTCATGTTTCAGTGATTTATAGAACCAAATTTACCAGTGATTGTTTTCAGTCCTTCAGATCATTGCAGAGAAGTTTTGTCCCATTTTTGCAGTGTTTCTTCAGTTTATTCAGCAAAATCTCGAGTTATCTATCTTTGATTGAGCTGAGGTTCCGTTTTGCTCTATGCTATTTTTACTTTGTTTCAACATTGTTTTACTTTCCCTCATTAGTTTTTTGTTTCATTATATAGTTTGTTATTAGGATAACACCGTACCGTCTTAGCAGGGGCGACCGTGTCCACACAAAAGTTGAGGTAGTCTGTAAGACAGTGTGTCGCCCCCTCTATGTCCTCACCATGTGGGCTCAGGAGCACATCCCAGTCTGTGGTGTCATAACAGTCCCTCAGAGCATCCTCCTTTTCTGGGGTCCATCTCCGGACATCTGATGGACATTTTGGACAATGCCAGACATCCTCTGCACACGGCCATTAACAACCAGAAGAGTCTGTTCAGTGACAGGTTGCTTCTCCCCAAGACAAGAACTAACAGACTTAAAAACTCCTTTGTCCCACACGCCATCAGACTGTTTAACTCCTCCCTGGAGGGGAGAGGGAGGGGAAACAGGAGGACAAAGGAGGGGGGAACAACTAAGCTGTAGTGCCTCTTCACCTCACTGTGCAATACCTTTTGTGCAATACTTTTGTAAATAGTCAACGGTGCAATAGACTCAATACTTGAAATGTGCAATTCACTTGTATTTTTATTTTTATTCCTTTTTATTTCTATTCCTATTTATTCTATTTATCCCCTTCGTATATTTTATTTATATTGTCTCTGTATTTATATATATGTGTGTGTGTGTGTGTGTATATATATATATATATATATATATATATATATATATATATATATATATATATATATATATAATATTCTGTAACTCTGTAACTTCTGTCGGTGCTGTGCTTTTTTGGAAATCGAATTTCCCAGAGGAACCCACCCGAGGGATTAATAAAGTTCTATCTAATCTAATCTAATCTAATAGTTTGTCTCTATTTTTAGCTTATCATATTTTGAAAGTTCCTCTGTTTGTGTCTTAACTCCTTTTTTTATCACCTTTAGCTGGAGGCCATTCTGGGCGTGTCCATCTCTCAGGTGGGTGTGGATGACTGCCCATACACAGACTGCAGCCAGTCTGGAGGTTGCAGCAATGAGGTTTCATTCAGCCAGGCACCGGTGGCTCTCAGCTCTGGTAACATCTCTCTGGTGTCACTGGCGGCCTCTTTGACTGCGCAATGTGGCTGCCGGGGCCGTGAGGCAGTCCACCTGTCCTGTTCTGCTTACCCCATCAACCCATGCCTCAATGGGGGCACCTGCCAGGACGGACCATTGGGATACCGGTAGGTGTAAGCCAAGGAGGGGTCTTTGCATGTTCCATATAATTCTTCATATGATAATGCATCCAGGATCCAGTTCAACCTCCAGTTACCTGGAGGTTGAACTGTTGCACTTATCTGATTGCAGTAAGTAGAGTCTCTAAAGTGCTGTGTCTTTGAAACTTGTTATCGAAGGAAAAGTTTTCTTTATAATGAGATACTGTGAATCACCTGTGAACCTGTCAGAAAAGAAATTTGCTTTGCAGCAGTACTAATGGACAGTAAAAAGTCTTTAATAAGAAATATAATAAAAGAAATAATATAATTAGAAAATAAAGTAGATTAACTCTCTGTCTCAGATGCAAGTGTCCTCCCATGTACGACGGCCCCGAGTGTCAGCAGACCAAACACAGCTTTGGCGGCCAGGGTTACGCCTGGTTCCCTCCCATCAAACCTTGCTATCAGAGCCACATCTCCCTGGAGTTCCTGGCTGAGTCAGCCAATGGGCTGCTCCTCTACAACGGGCCGCTTGGTAATGTTCACTCTGGGGAGCAGGAGGACTTCATTGCCATTGGTGAGTTTCACGCTGAGGCTCTCGTGTGTAAAGCTTCTACTTTTGTAGATTAAGAGTTAACATCTTAACTTTCTTTGCTCTGGAGTCAAACTCAATTAAAACACAAATCCAAAGAGTTCTACTCGGAAGATCTATGAAGATCAAACGGTCAGTATTTTCAAATAAACTAATAAGGCTAGATCTAGTAATTTCAGTTCAAGTTAGCCACTTGGAAGGAAGTAGAAATTTTGGCCTGAATATGTCAGTATGACAGTAAAGGTGCTCTTAAATAGCTGCAAAAACACACATGAAAGTGTGAGCCAGTGTTGAGTCTAATAAATAAATGATTTACAGTCACCCTTACTAACCTTCTGTTGGTGTTCTTTGCATCTTAAGACTTAGTGACAAAACCAACAAAGAATCAGAAAATGCACCACTGATTACATGCAGCTATACAACAGCTCCATTATGCACTAGGTGACATTAGAACACAGTTTATACAGTAAGGCCTTTGATCTAATGGGTTTTCTTCCATGTTTATAAAGCTTATAACTTCATGTTCTTGGTAAGTGGCACATTGTACTGTAGATGTTCTGAAGTCAGAACTGTTATATGACATATGTGGATTTGAGGTTAGATTCGATCGTTACTGTAAAGGCTTTTGAATTCCACTGTCTAAATATAATTCTTTATCTAATCGATTCTCTGGAAGGTGTTTGTGAGAACAAAGGCTGAAAATGATCAAATTAAATTTAAATTATTAGGTTTAGTGTGTGCTCTGGGATGATTGATGTGGCTAATGCATTTCATTTACTGGACCTGTGATGTCCTTTAACTTTTCAGTTTAACGCAAAATAAAAAATATAAACGTGCAACACTTTGGTACATAAGCTTTGGACCACACAACCACCATGTTGGTCCAGCAAAGAGATTGTCGTGATTCAAAGCTAACAGCACATTTCAGTGTACAGATGACTCTGATTTTATTTATCAACTCTTAGACTATCAGCTAGTCATTGTAGTTTTCAGCTAGGTTTGGTATGATATAGATAAAAAGAATCATCTATTAACCAACAAAGCGTTAGAAAAATGAGGAGCAGAGGTGATTATTGCAATGCTTGCAGAAGTCTCTGAGAGTGGCTCATTTGCTGCAGCAAACACATTCTGCTTGAACTTCAGTACCCTTTTGCTGAAAGCTGACAAATTATTTTAACTTCCTAGCTCTATAACAATCATACTAATCTCACAGTGCTGATGGGAACGTGCTGCCGGTCCTGCTTTTCAGCAAACACAAAGCGTTCATCAATCCGCTGCTGTATAGACAGTTTCTCAGTGGATGAGGAGCTTCATAAACTCTAATGTCAGCTCCCAGTGGCCCTAATGTGGTGCTGATGGATTAGCCTGCAGATGGCCTTTCGAACACTTCTTGCATAATCTTGTGGCATTAAAGTTATGTAATTATTGAACCCAGGCTGTTGCTGCAGTGGTCCGGGGAGGGGAAAATCAAAGATAGTTGCAGGATTGATCTCTCTGAAGCGTTTTTGCACTTACATGTCCAATATTGTGACTATGAGGTTGATCAGGTCATACACACATAGACACAAACGCACACATTTTACAGCAGCAGATGAAAGGATATTGGGAGATTCACACAGAGAAAATTGATAAAGTGGCTTACTGCAGTTGTTGATGGGATCCAGAAGCTTACGTAGCAATAAGGAGAAGTGATGTCAGGGCATGCGTCAACTTTTAAGACACAAGAAACGAATATTTTTTTGTCATAGTGGGTATTAAATGACCCAAAGCTGTGTTCAATTTTACTGCACACATCAACTTAAGTAAGGCAGCCCTCAAAATTCACTTTATGAGCTCTAAACATATTTTCCAGCCTGTTTTACACATTTGTTATGTTGATGTTTACAGACTTGACTTTATTGTTTATTTAGGCCTGTTGGGATTTTGTATTTGGGTCACTGTAGTGTGTGTGTGTGTGTGTGTGTGTGTGTGTGTGTGTGTGTGTGTGTGTGTGTGTGTGTGTGTGTGTGTGTGTGTATGCGTATGTGTGTTTACCGTGAGATGGAAAAGAGAAAACAAAGATAATATTCTCAACTCCCCATTCAGAGTTGAGAAACGGCGTTCCAGCTCTGAGCATAAACCACGGATCAGGAACACTCACTTTGCAGTTTCCACCCAAATCCACTGTCACCGACCGACGCTGGCATCGCCTCGACATCATCAGTGACGGAAAGGTGAGACTTATCTGCAGTATAGCAGATGCATGGAAGGATGACTGGATAGGTGGAAATAATGAAAAAGAAACAAAGGAACAGGAAATCAAAAAACTTGTAAAATAGGAGGAAAAGGTGAGTTACATGAGGTAACGGTGTGCATTCTGTTTGTCCTCAGGCTGTCCAGCTGATCCTGGACCAGTGTGGAGGGGTGGCTGTGAATGAGTTGGAGACAGATGAGTCCAGCTGTAGAGCTGCAGGAGAGACACCTGGAAATCAGAAGTAAGAACAACCCCAGATTTCACTGCTTACTTACAAATTTAACACAGAGAATCTAAAACTTTGCTGTGAAAAACCCAATTTACCTTTCTCTTGCTTTCTTTTTTCCTTTATTTTTGTTTTCATTCAATTCATCCTTATTTTTTTTTCCTTTTCCGAATCTTCTTCTTTCACATCATCCTCCCAACTCTGCTTTTCATCCTCTGACTACTTCTGTTTTTCTTCCCTTCTTCTGTCATCCTCCACTTCTTTTCCTCCCTTCCTTATTTCTTCTCCTCTTCAGATATCTGAATGTTTTCCAGCCTCTGCAGTTGGGAGGGGTGAAGGAAATGTCCCCTCACAGACATTACCGCAGTTTCACTGGCTGCATCCGCAACCTGGTGGTCGACAGTCAGGTAATATTACAATATGAGCATGCTGGTTTGTAGAGTTCCTATTGTGGGGACATGAATGTGTGTGTGAAATTTTGGGGGCAAAAAGCCTTAATGTAAATGATTAGATTTTAATAGCCATACTCTGTTTAAAGCCTCTTTAAATGATTGTTTTTAATCCCAGAGATCATTAGGCTTTTTGTGTGTGTGTGTGTTTTTCTTGGCTCTTAAATGCAGTTTTAATGTCTGCAGGTCTGCACCTGTTTGTGTTTGTTCATGCATGTATTCACTTGCAGTCCTTGGTGGATGGTGATGGTGTTTATCTGTGCGCCTGTGAGTACCACAGGGATGGTGGTTGGACAGATGGTGATCTAGGCTCGGCTCCTCAGCCAAGGCCAGCATAACAACATCACAGTCCAAAATGTAACATAAATGAAAAGAATCTCCCTCGTCCTCATGAAGCTCAGCGTGTTGCTGTGGTTCCTTTACTGCTGCAAACCTCAGTCACTTCTCAAATATCCCAAAATAGTCCCCTGGAAAGATTTCAACCAGCTTTCAGACAAGAAGATATGGAAGTATGTTACCATCAGCCTGTCACTGTGGCACCTCATTCAAACCGCAATCCCCTGTGTTTTGGGGATGCCTCCTTCAGTCTAATGCTCTGATTTTACAGGAGTAAGATTAACTCTGCCTTCAAATGGTGGATGAGTTACAGTTTTTGTATTAAATTTTTTTTTTTTTTAAATTAGCAAAACACTGCCACATAAAATGATTTATAGTGATAATAATGAGGTATTAAAGGTAATTAAAGGTTAACCTTCCAGTGGTCGTGTTTGCACTCTAATAAAGTATCAAATTCTAATTGAAGACTGAAGATTTTGTTTCTACATGCACCAAACAGGGAAGGTAGATATGGCAAATATGGCAAAGTGGTTCCTTTTCTAACCTCATGTATGCAATTTATTGTGAATCTGAAGAGTGTGAGAGGGGTGCTGGACTTCTTTCAGTGGGCAATATCAGTGCTCTTGCACTAAAGGTCAAGCAGGACTCCACACAGTGCAGTGACTGATAATGGGGAGTCTCACAAACTCAGCAAGTGATTCAAAGCAGTCATTTTGTTTGATTACAACCTCACTGGAGGTGTCAGTTAACCAGGATCTGTTTGTAGTTTACCGTGCGTTTGTAAGCGATGACTGCTTGATGGAGCTGTGCCCTGTGAGCATAGAGGTCATATGTTCTAACCGTGCTATGGGGTTTATTTAATGTTTTCATACATTCAAGATCAATAAATATACATGTACAAGATCCCCAGTTTGTGAGCTCATGCAGTAACCACAGAAGCAGAGACACTGATCTTGAGAGAAAACCTGCCTATTGTTGCCTTCAGCATGCATCAAAAGTCCTCTGTGAGTAATTAAAGGTTTGGCTACATTTATTCTTTCTAAATATGGTAAGTTGGCATAACCCAGCATGAAGGTATCAGCGTATTTTCCATCCTCTAGCTGTTATTTTGTACCAAGTTCAAATTAAATCAATTTAAACTTATAGACATAAATATTTTTTCTATGCTCATTTCGAGCTATATCTTTTTGTTATTTGGTGCTTGACGAGTTTTGCTCAAATCAGCTCAAATGAATCCTTATTTATCTAATGCTGGGAACTGGTACAGCCCCTCGGTTCATCATTTGTCTGAAAGAAGCCCTTTTGGCTCCTCACGCTTCCTTTAAGCCAGCTTTCTTCTCATTGGTTTACTTCTATAAACAGAAGGTTTGAACATCAGGTGGGTGGAGATTCTGTGCTCATAGCCAGAGCTGTGGGCCTGAGATGACAATATTAATCATCATCAAGAGCCGAGAGCTGGCCTTATCAGACTGCTTGTCAACTATCTGATTATTTTTAGCCTCTGAAATTGGTATGACTTTGTATATGTAAAAAAAAAAATCTGTAATTCCTACACAGTTAAAGATATACTTTTTCTTACTCCCCTTGAAATAAAGCTGAAAGCCTGAGTGTTTGGTTTAAAATCCAGTGGGGTTATATACAGATGCAAAATTACAATAGATTGCATCATTGTCCAAAAAATTATGGATCCAACTGTATATGACAGATAAGAAACCCATAATAGCTCCACTTTAAACTAGATTAGCACACTTGAAGCCTCACAGCTTCACAAAGCTCAAAGCTCTGCATCAACAACATACAGCCCAACATTTTTAAATCACGTTTCAAAAATGATCAATTACAGTGTTGATACAATGACTCAACTGGCGCCACCATTAGGAAGCAATTGGGGTCTTTTTGTTTTTGTTTTTTATGTAGAAGAAATATTGTGTGAGGAACTGTGGGAGGTTTGCTGAGCACATTCATGCTCCATTGAGGAGGAACCCCTTTAGTTTCACTTTTCAAAGCCAAATTTTTATGACAGTAGAAAGAGGCTTTTAAAACCTTAAAAGAGACAGAAACAGAACCCCCCGCCTTACATGCTTTTCTTTGTTCTGTAATCAAAGCTGGTTTCTTGATTCCCTCAGAAAAATTCAAAACACATTTTTGTAGCTCATGCATTAAGGTAGATTGACACAGCACGAAAATGGCTGCCAACCAGAAAGAATGGGCACATTTAGAAATTCAGTGCATGTCAAATTTGGTCTTTGTTCTATTTCAGATATACAGAAGGAAAACGGTAGAATTTTTAAAAAAAACAAACAAAAAAAAACTTCTCTGATCTATACTTGGCTGTGTGCGCAGCCTGGATCACATGACCAGAGGCAGCACTGGGTTCCTTTGTAAAGCATGTGACGAAAGTTTGCTGGATATAAAAGAAAATTTGTGTAAATATTTTTTTTCAACAAATAATCATCTCCCTCCTTTCTTTTGTTGTCCCTTAGGTGTATGATTTGGCATCTCCCGGTGAGAGTGTGGACAGCACCCCAGGTTGTAAGCTCACAGACGGCGTGTGCGTAACGGCGGCGGGACCCTCATGTGGGATTCACGCAACCTGCCTCGCAGACTGGGGCTCGTTCAGCTGCGAGTGCCACGCTGGATACACGGGGCACAAGTGTGACAGGGGTGAGGGTCAGAGCGTTTCAGTCCATATCAGTGCAGTTTCCTCTTTTAAATCTTTAGTTTTGGGAATACAGAATTAGATCTATGGACCTTGGAAATTTTAGAAACCTTCATAAAAGCTGTGAAACTTCGGAGCAAAGAAAGCCCGTCAGCCTAAAATAGCACACACAGAGAGTCTGACTCCTTTTCCAGGGCTCTGTGGTCAGCTTAATAATTGTGACATCCACAGCAAGCAGTCAGTGTTGTACCTGTTAGATCTGACTGAGAGCAGTCAGGCCAAACAGTCTGTGAAAAACAATTACCTCCTTATGTGTACATGTTTTGTTTTCAGTCTGCAAAGAAGATTAATAGTTCAAGTTCGTCCTTTTGTGTGAAACAATTTAAACATTTATATGTTCCTCCCCCCTCAGCCATGCCAGAGTTCTCCTTCGATTCGGGCAGTGTGGTGCGCTTTCAGCTCAGAGGAGGCGGCATCTCCCGACGCACAAACATTCAGCTGCTCGTCCGAACCAGAGCCACCTCAGGGACCCTGCTGTCTGTGACGTCCCGGGAGACCAATGAATACATCGTACTGGAGGTCAGTCCACCTGTAGAACAACAATGACTAACCTTTCACATGATAGCTATCCTCAAAAATAAGCCTGCTTATATCACAGTTTAAACAGCATCCACTTATCAAGATAATCTCACTTTTTCTTAAAGAACATTTAACCATTTTATCAAATACTGCACTTTTACTGCACCATTTTTAGATAATGAATGCATTTTCAATGGGTGGCAGTTTTTACTTCCCCACATGACAGATTTTGTTGCGAGAATTTAAATCCCCGAGCAGCAGCTTTTTTTCAAAGGTTTATGTTCTTCTCTGTCTCAGATCACAGAGGGTCACATCTCAGTACGTGCCAACCTTGGTGACGGCGCTCACGCTTTGCGGCTTCCCGGCCAGCGGGTGGATGTCGGACAGTGGGTCCTGGTCAGCCTCAGTCGCTATGACAACATGTTTACCCTGCGGTTAGAGCACGGCGGGGGCTCGAGGGAAGTGCAGGCCCGCCTGGGGAGCCGCAGGGAGATCGTGGTTCATCCATCCAGCCTAATGGTTGGTAATGGACCAGACAAGGCTGACTTCCAGGGTGAGAGCTGAATCTAATTTCAGAAAAAAAGTCTTTGTTTATTCAAGTGAGTTCTGAATGGAGTAAAATGACTCTTAAGTGCCTGACAGCCATGGCAACAAGTATTTAAATTCTTGAAATACACTGTGTTTCTCTTCGGATTTATTCTTGCTTTCACAATGTTACCAGAAAACTTAGAATTCAGTTTTTAAATATTTTATAGCTGTGCAGATGCTTAATTCAGAGATAACTCAGAAATGAAGCAATGATTGTGTTTTCCTTAAGTTTTTGTGTTAATTGTTCTTTCAAGATAAAGCATTGCAATTAGTTAGTTTAGCTTTTGAGTTTCACTCATTACATCACAAGTGCATTATTTTTGAATAGTTTATCTTAAAAACCATATTGGACGCAATGCTAAACAGGAATTTTTGGCAAACAGGTTGTCTGCGGGATGTTCGATTTAATGGTCACGTCCTGCCTCTGGATGGCCAGAGCCGGGACCTGGTGACGGTGCTGGAGAGACGTGGTGTCACCTCAGGGTGCTCTAGCAATGCCTGCAGCAGCCAGCCCTGCCGCAGCCCGCTGCGGTGTGTCGACTTATGGAGGAAACACCAGTGCAAGTAAATGACACACAAACGCAAAGCAGCACACTTATATAGCTTCCACTGGTGGGAAGCTATTAATTCATTCTTTTAGCAGTTTTGTTTCTTAAAAGTTTTTTGTCTTTCCTATGAGGTCACGCATAAAGTTTTCCAAGAATTTATTTCCATTTTAGTGCCACATCTAACTAACGTTGTCATCTGTCCTGCTCTCCATCATGTCCCAGGTGTCCTGGTAGTCAGGTAACCGTGACTGACGACTCAGGTCAGCAGCGTTGCGCGCCGTCGCCCTGTGGACTTTCTTCCTGCCGTAACGGTGGTGTCTGCCAGCCGCTTTCACCCGATAGCTACCGGTGCCGATGTCAGGAGGGTTTCAGGGGTCAACGCTGCGAGCTGGGGCAGGTCAAAGGTCACCGGCTGCCCGCTCTGAGCCCCAGCTCCATCTTGGCCATCAGCATGTGTCTGCTCGTCTTCTTCGGTAAGAGCAAAGAGAGTCATTAACAGAATGAAATTAAGAGAGAGTACGATGAGGTAAACTTTGCTAAAGTTCTTTGGTTTATAGTCATCTGAATGACACATAATTTACTGAACTAAATCAAACCTCACACAATAAACTCTGATGTTGTCATGAATTACACAATATAACTAACAGTACGGGAAATATTTATGTTGTTGTTTTGTTTCCAGGAAAGTATGATGGCATATTAGTAGTTTATATTAAAACTGTGGTTATTTTGAAACTCTGCAAATTTATCTATAATTGTTTCGTTTCTGTTGTGATTAATGTTTCAGTAAATGAGATCAGCATGTGTACAAGTGTTCTTTGTAGACCGCTCTAAGATAGACTGGGGGTTTTTTCTACTTTTGACTCTTGATGATTTCAGGGAGGGTGGGTAACAATCTCTCAAGCCCTTCCCACCTACTTTTCAAACTTTCTATTTATAAGAGGAAGCCAGTCAGAAATAAGAGGCTGAAGTGAGCTGGACAAAGTCTTGTGTGAGGGAGAAAAAGGTTAATGTTCTCTGTCTCAGAAAACAGAGGGTCACATCTCAGCACGTGCCAACCTGGGTGACAGCACTCATGCTTTAAGAGGAGATAAAGATGAAACAATATTAGTTGTTGGAATCCTGGCAGCACAAGAAGATTAAAAGTGGGGAATAAAGAAAATCCAAATTTCCACAAACTGGTTAACTAAAATAAAGATTCAGCAGTAGAAGTTGATAGAACAATTATAAAGGAGAATATCAGCATAACTTAAATTAGAGGCACAGAAGAAGCATGCTCACAAAAAAAAGTGTCTTTAAAGAGGGAAGAATATTCAAAAGAGTGAGGGCCCTGACAGAAAAAGCCAGATCGCCTTGGTTATGAGCCGAGATTGTGGTATGACCATCAGAGTCTTGGCTGAGAGATTCAGGTTACGACCAGAGGCTTACGGTAGGAGGAGATGAAATTTGCCAAATGTATGACTCACATCTGACTTCAGTATGAGTCATGTGATGACTCATCTCTGAGTGACACTGGCAGCATAATCAACAGAAATTAAACTTATTTAGATAGATGGAAGCTGGCAAAAAAGTGTGTGCATACATCCAGCCCAGTCAGGTCGAATCTCCACTGCAGACCTTTACTGTTTGAAGATCAACAGTTTTTTCTGGGAGCACTAATCATTAAAAATACAAGCTGTGGTGACGCAAAGAGAATTCAGTTAAATAAATGTTACAAAATAACCATTCGCCCCTTAAGCTGTTCATAAGTCAACTTAATCTAACCAGTGAACGGTTGTTTCCCTCAGCTTCACACCTACTGTGTTATGGTTTGTGTTTTTCCATCAGAAGCCTTCATTTCGTCTCGCATGAACAGATTAAATATCTTCTAGGTGATTTTTGAAACACAAATGACCTTGTAGTCTCAATAAAAATGCTGCGTAGAAAGCTGTTAGAATTTGATACTCTTCCCAATGGCTGCCTCATTTATTTTTCACCTGTTTGCCGTAATTATACTAATGTTTCTAAATGAACTTGGTACTGATTTATTGAGGCTAAATGACTCCACAGAGCAGCTTTAATGAGCCACTGCTTCAAATATACAGGAAGGAAACTAATGTCTGTCCCGGTGGTGCAGAAGCACATTTACGAAGAGATGCATATTCATACCATCCTCCTCTGTGCATGTGTGTGTGTGTGTGTGTGTGCGCTCAGCGGTGCTGGTGGCAGTGACAGTGTGGAACCAAAAAGGCAGCCGAAATAAGTTCAGGAAGCGAGGAGTTTACCACATCCCTGCTGAGCATGAGAGCTGGGAGGACATCCGAGAAAACATTCTCAACTACAATGAAGAGGGAGGAGGAGAGCAGGACCAGGTACACAGAACCAAACACACACACAATAAATGGATACAATGTTTTGCATTTTACATGACAGTTGATTTTTTTTTAAGAATCAAGGCCTCACCGTCAAAAATGCATTTTAGCATCTCAGGTAATCAAATAATAGTCTACAAACATCCTGTGTTTGAGGCCACAACTAACCAGTGTTTCTTCTTCTTCTTTGTAAGTAAGTTTTGAAATTTGGCACGCTGATTGGGAACAGTTATTCAATTCAATTTTATTTATACAGCACCAAATCACAACAGCAGTCGCCTCAAGGTGCTTCATAGATACAGAGAAAAACCCGACAATCATATGACCCTCTATGAGCAAGCACTTTGGCGACAGTGGGAAGGAAAAATTCCCTTTTAACAGGAAGAAACCTCCAGCAGAACCAGGCTCAGGGAGGGGCGGGGTCATCTGCTGCGACCGGTTGGGGTGAGAGAAGAAAAACGGGACAAAGACATGCTGTGGAAGAGAGACAGAGATTAATAACAGATATGATTCAGTGCAGAGAGGTCTATTAACACATAGTGAGTGAGAAAGGTGACTGGAAAGGAAAAACTCAATGCATCATGGGAATCCCCCGGCAGCCTACGTCTATTGGAGCATAACTAAGGGAGGATTCAGGGTCACCTGGTCCAGCCCTAACTATATGCTTTAGCAAAAAGGAAAGTTTTAAGCCTAATCTTAAAAGTAGAGATAGTGTCTGTCTCCCGAATCCAAGCTGGAAGCTGGTTCCACAGAAGAGGGGCCTGAAAACTGAAGGCTCTGCCTCCCATTCTACTTTTAAATACTCTAGGAACAACAAGTAGGCCTGCAGAGCGAGAACGAAGTGCTCTAATAGGGTGATATGGTACTACAAGGTCATTAAGATAAGATGGGGCCTGATTATTTAAGACCTTGTATGTGAGGAGCAAGATTTTGAATTCAATTCTGGATTTAACAGGAAGCCAATGAAGGGAAGCCAAAACAGGAGAAATCTGCTCTCTCTTTCTAGTCCCTGTCAGTACTCTTGCTGCAGCATTTTGGATTAGCTGAAGGCTTTTCAGTGAGTTTTTTGGACATCCTGATAATAATGAATTACAGTAGTCCAGCCTGGAAGTAATAAATACATGAACTAGTTTTTCAGCGTCACTCTGAGACAGGATATTTCTAACTTTAGAGATGTTGCACAAATGGAAGAAAGCAGTCTTACATATTTGTTTAATATGTGCGTTGAAGGACATGTCCTGGTCAAAAATGACTTCACAGCGTTACTGGAGGCCAAGGTAATGCCATCCAGAGTAAGAATCTGGTTAGATACCATATTTCTAAGATTTTCAGGGCCGAGTACAATAACCTCAGTTTTATCTGAATTAAGAAGCAGAAAGTTAGCGGCCATCCAGGTCTTTATGTCTTTAAGACATTCCTGCAGTTTAACTAATTGGTGTGTGTTACCTGGCTTCATGGACAGATAGAGCTGGGTGTCATCTGCATAGCAGTGAAAATGTATGCTATGTCTTCTAATGATGCTGCCTAAGGGAAGCATGTATAATGTAAACAAGTTATCTAATTTGTTTTTAGCATTCAAGGGCCACCAAAGCTGGAACCATTTGTGTAATTAAGTGACCCACCATCAGACCAAGTTAAATTCGAAAAACCCAGTTGACAGTGGTCAATGGCATGACATGACTTCAGACACGAAGTCATGTCATGTCTTAGCATCTTTCATGTATTATGACCAGACTTGGTGTATGAACTCGCCTAGCACCCCTTCCTGAAGTTGTAAAACCAAAATGTGGAATTATATTATTTGACCACTAGGGGCACTACAGTAAAAAAATACAATTTTTAAAATTAAGCATCAGATTTAATCGGTACCCATGTATCTTCTTTTTTCCTCCGTCCTTCCAGAACGGTTATGACATCACAGAGCTGAAGCGTCCACTGTGCTCCAGTTTGTCTCAGTCATCCTCCTGCACGACCGCTCCGCTCATCAAATCCTCACCGGGCTCCCAGGAAGAGGTTCATCCATCCAGTTCCTCGTGCAGCTCAGGTGCTCCCTACCTCAGCATCCCACATCACCACCACCATCAGCATGCCGCCAACGCCAACTATACCAGCGATGCAACCTACGCTAATTACACTGCTCATGTAAACAGAGACGTGGAGACAAGCGACGTAGGCAGTTACACTGATGCCCCGCCTGGCTCACGCTCCCACGTGGACTTTAGAAGCTACGTGGCGCGAATCATTTGGGAGGCAGACAATGACAATGAGGCTTTCCCGCCAGACGCCTACCACGTCTGGTGCGTGGAAGGCTCCGGGTCGTCGGCAGGAAGCCTTAGTTCACTGGGGTCCGCAGTGTCCCATAGAAACATCAACACAGGCGACGGTGATCAGGACGACGGGGAAGAGGAGGAAGATGATGGAGGTTTTGTTTATGACAGACTCTCGCGGTGGGGCCCAAAGTTTCAGGCACTCAGTGAGATGTACGACCGACCACAGCTGACCCTCACATACAGGGATGCAATGGCGTACATACAGAGGAGCCACAGCCATGACCCCCTGCCACATCACCATTAGGGGGTGCTACCCAAATACAAGTACACACTCATAGAACATTTGCCACAGTGGAAAGGGACTCAGTGCTGTGATCTTGTCAAATTTAAAAAAAAAATCAAAACAAGGATGGCTGGTCAGGTATTGTTTTGTATGGCTGGGAATATGTTTAAAATATGTGTTTTAATATTAATTTTCTGATGTTGAAATATATATAAATATACTCACTGTTCTAAAGACATACAAATTTGAATTTTTTTGGCCTGAACAAATCTACCTTTTTTCACCTTTTCAGCTGTAAACCTTTACAGTTTGTGGTTTCTACAAAGGTCTCTAAGCAAACTGGTCCAAACAAGTGATATTTTCAGTTCTTTTGGCTAATTAAATGTCAGATTATGGTTCGTGTCAGAGTTTAGTGAAGCAAGATGAGCTTGCCACATTAATTAAAAATAACGAGGCATAAAGAAGCAATTAAGAACAGAAAAACAATGAATGAGGCAGAAGAAGCAAAGCTGGGAGGACTGTGCATTCTTATTAGAGTTGTCTGACAGGGATGAGCCCTCAGCAGCAGCAGTTATTCAAGAGAGTTTTACAAGTAGAAACAGGTGATAAATGACAGATATCATGCATCGTCCAGGTAAACAGGGTAAAAACTCATAGATCAACATGAAATTTACCCAGATTATTATTTACATTAAGGATATAATGTTTCAATATGCAAGTGAGGCATTATATCTTAATATGTGCAAATTTGCACAATCTTACAGGAATCTGAATGGATAGATAAAGTCGGATTCTGAATTTGTTGGCACATGAGTCTTTTTAGCACTCCATAAACCAGAAACTTTTATCAACAGCCAGATAAAAAAAAATCACCATGTTTTTGGGATGACATGTGCAAAAGCCATCTGTAAATCCTTCAGAACTCCTGACACGTTGGGCCATGCAAGTACAAGAAGGAAAGAAACAAATCAGAGTAACTGACCAAAGAAATATGTTTGCATACTTGTATTTACTCTTACAGTTTTTAACAAATGGTTATCAACATAAATCGTGTCTGTGTAAGAGCTTGAAACCTGGACTTTTTGGAAACATTTCACCTCGTTTCCAAGAGGCTTCTTTCAGTTCAATTCACTTATTTTTAAGCTCTTAAGACAACATCAAAGTTCTTTACTTAAGTATCATGAACATCTAATAAACTAAATTTTACTTTCACTGATATTGAAATTATTACCAGCGCATGAAAAAGAATTATTTGTATTGTAACGTATCATTTTTTTTTTAAATATTGACTGGTTTAGTTAAAAAAAAGAACAGAAAGACATTTGGCTGCGTCAGGCAGATACGCTACAAAGCTAAGGTAACAACAAGAAGGATGTTCAGTCTGCCCCAATGATTGAAAACACTTGTATGGCTTTGGAGAGTTTGATTGGTTACTTAGAATTATCACTCATGATTGAGTGATAAGGGCAGCACGGTGGTTAGCACTGTTGCCGCACAGCAAGAAGGTCCTGAGTTCAATTCCAACATCAGGCCGGGGTCTTTCTGTGTGGAGTTTGCATGTTCTCCCCGTGTTTGCGTGGGTTCCCTCCGGGTACTCCGGCTTCCTCCCACCGTCCAAAGACATGCAGCTTGAAGGGATAGGTTAATTGGAAAATCCAAATTGCCATTGTGTGAATGTGCGAGTGAATGTGAGTGCGAATGGTTGTCTGTCCCTGTGTGTTGGCCCTGCGACAGACTGACGACCTGTCCAGGGTGTACCCCGCCTCTCGCCCTATGACAGCTGGGATAGGCTCCAGCACCCCCCGCGACCCTGAAAAGGATAAGCGGAAGCGAATGGATGGATGGATGGATGGATTGGCTGCCAGCCCTTAAGTTCGCTGGTCCAGCCACTGTCTGTAATGCTGTGGTCACTGTGTCATGTGGAGCAAACAGGAAATCTGGGCAGAGAAACTTTAAAGTGAGTAAACCAAACTGAGAAATGTCACCAAAGTCATAAATCGCAACTGTAAGTGCAGACTTACAGCTGTAATCGCATTACTCTGATGTTTTAACTTTGGAAAAAAATGGAGACAATTCAAGTAAAAGGCAATTGGCAGGCATTTCCTTCATTCTCACTGACCTTCTCGAGTTTTTTGTGTATTCATTTATTTCAGTGCAAGCTCCACCACAGTGTTTCTTCAAAACACACCACTAAAACAAAAAAAGAAAGAGTGTCTTATCTCTAAATTGATTCTCGGTATGTTTGTGGCACAAATGGGATTGAATATTATCACATCTTACCTGATATGAAACAAAAAATCTCTCTCAGGTGGGGCAGGAACGCAGCAGCTCTGTTCCCCCCGTGTAGATTAATCGCCACAGAAAAGCTGAGACACTTTCAGGGCGCGAGGTTCATTATGTGATCTTCGTGTTTCTTCAAAACCGAGGTTACCAGTTCATCTTTGAGCTTAACACAGGAATACATCACTCAGCTTTTATTTATTTTGCTTGTACTTCTTCCTTTTAGAAGCGGTGTACTCTGTTTATTTAATTATCAGGGCAGTTTGTGGGTTGCTGTTTTTCGTTCCATGGAAAATGCAGACTTTCAAGGTCAAAAGTTTCTCTTTTCTGGAGGAATATAACATCAAATTATGTCAGAAATGTTCAGAATGAGGGGAGCTTTGTATTTAGAGAAACAGTCTGGTAAGAAGGACTTGATGTAGAAATCTAACAAAGACAGCTCCGAGTTCTTCTTTCAGGGAATTTTAAAGTACTATTTGAATCTTTTTATCTTTGGCATGGCAATTTTTTTATTTTGACCCTCCTGTGCAGCTCCACAGCTGTAAACAAAAACTCAATTTCATACAGAAGCACTACCAAGGTCAAGCTTTTATTCTACACTTTTATTTTCCTAAGAAATATCTTTTTTGCTTCTCTACCCTCTGCGTTTCCACAGATTAACCTGACCTCAAAAAAACCTTCCAGTAACCAGCGTGCATTTCTCTTTGCCGTTCTTGTTGCACTAGCAGGCAAGTCAGTTCTCCATCTTCAAGTAAGACGTAGAAAGTTAACAATTAAAAGCCTTGTGAGTTCACCAAGTGAAACACTTTGCAGCCTACAGCGTCTCCACCGTGTAAAATGAGCTTTGCTAGTATGTTTTCAGATGACATTCTTTTTGTAACCCCCATGTAGAAACTCCCCAGAAGCTTCTTTTCACTTGCAGTTGGTCGTGCACTGTTAATGTTTTTGCTTTTTCTAAAAAAAAACAAAAAACAGGGAGCACCCTGTTAGACCAGTGTTTCCGAAGGCTGAACTGCTGTCAAATATAAACACTGCAACTGTGAATCCATTTGGAAATCAACATGACAGCCAGAGGTACTGAAACTAAGTCACGCTTAGACATTGCTGTGAGCTGGAAGTGAAAGTTGTGATACATGTGAAGATGGCTTTTAACAAATAGGCAAAAATTACTTACTTTGTTTCTTTTATGAAAATGCAGGATATTCAGTATATGCAAGTCTTTCTCTTATAAAGTAATCCTACTAAAATACAGTACTGTGCAAAAGTCTTCTTTTCTTTATATTTTGCTTGGAAATTGATAAGCAGTGTTTGAAAGTCAATATTCAATAAGACCACCTTTATTCTTCATTCCAGTTATTCCACATATTCGTTTGACGTTGGCTCTTCTGTCAGAATGATTATTCAGTAATGTTAAAGCTCCGGCTCTAGGAAGGCCAGGCTATGACTCCTACTACACTGGCTAAATCGAAAGCCTAAAACAATGACACAGCCTCCACCATGCTTTATCGATGGCTGTAAGATGAATTGTAACTAGAACTGGTTCTTTGCTAAGTTGTCTGTTAGTTGTCTCAATGGAAACAGGTCTGATGGTTTTATGAACACAACACTGCTTCATCCCTCGAGTTTGGTGCCTTTTATGCTTCAATCATTCATATATATGGCCAAACAAAGAAAACAGCCTTCCCCTGAAAGTAGTCGGGTACAAGGATTGAACTGAAAATGAATGGAAAAAACAGCCAGTGCCCAAAGAAAAACTCTGGAAGACCTTTGGAAAACTTTGTAGAAGTATTTCTCAGCACCACCATGCTTGGAAGCAAAATATAAAGACGGTGACTCAAGACGTCTGTATTGTGTTGTTTAAAATTTTTTTAACAGTATATAACTTTATTGATGTCACATGGCCACTGTTAAACTGCTTACTTGTTAGGAAAAATTAAGAGTGGGGCTCATAAACTTCCAGTTTAAAGTATTTGCAGCATCTAAAAAACTAATAAGTATGCAGAACGAGCTTCTACCATTTCTATTAAAACTTTATACATGTTGTAGCAGAAAATCAAGTGCGTGTGCACGGAATGCTCTGCAGCTAATAAATCAGCGCTGTTTTGAATATAACCATTACAAAGTGACCAAACTTGAGCCAATGAGCACTGCTCAAAGTGAGTAACACTGAGAATTTCTGTTCTTGCAAACCTGACCTAAACTCTCTTAAATCCAGCACTGATTCCCTGTTTTTATTTAGTGGCCACTTAATAATCTTCTCATATTCCATATCTGTAAAATGGGCTGTTTGATTTGGAGCGCAAGCATTTTGTTCTGTTCCTTTTGAAGCTACCTGATGTTTTTTTGCTGCCATCCTTTGACGGTAAATTTCTTAGATGATTTCCCTGATAAATGAGGAGCAGAACAGGAGAGGTCAGACTTCTCTCGTGTGCACAACAGGACACCAGCTTTTCCTTCTTCAACTTTTAAAGCAGCCAAATGTTTATTGGTTCTGGCTGCAGATCAGTGTCGTGTCTGATGGTTGTTTTCCAGCCTACCTCTTGGCTAAGTATATTGTCATTACAGCGCCTGATGAATGTAGTTTTTAAATAGAGAGAGTGAGAAAACCTGTGGAGGAAGTCTGAGCAAGTAAAGTACAATCACAGAACTCGGCGTAACTCAATCCTCAGCCAGCAAAAATGGCAACATAGATAAACATTTCCTGATATTTTAAAGGTTTTGCACTTAAGTCATGGTTTTCTTCCAGATACAGTCAGAATTTTTTTTTTTATTCAAAAGCCAGTATATTTGCCTGCTAGGCTCTGAGATTTTTACTGCGTAGACAGATTCTACAGATAAGACGTTTTCAATTCAGTGGTTTCCCCCCTTCTTTTGGATAATGAATTTAAAAAAAATGTTTAAAAAAAGCCTTGTAAGAACTGTACTTAAAGCTATGCATCCAAATAGAATAACACAGGTGTCTTTTTATAAACTATTGTGACGCTTCAGATGTTTTGACCTGTATGTGTGCAACATCTGTTGAATTTTGTTTAACACAGATGCGTGAACATTTTTATTGAATTCATATGCATTTATTAGAGTAAAGGTTTAAAGTGTCATTTACCACAGAGCTGTGCTGATCTGTATAATAAGATGTACAAATGAACGTTTTATAGCAACCTAATGTGGAATATTCCTTTTGTATGTGACTTTTAATTAAAAAGAAAAACTTTTCTTCCCAAGAACATGATTTATATGTTGGTGTCTTTGTTCAGTGATTTTACTCTCTCTCTCTCTCTCTCTCTCTCTCTCCCCCCCCCCCCCCCCCCCCCCCCCCCAAACTCTCTCTGGTAAGAGAACAAGTTGAAAAATAACTAAATAAAATAAGAAAGCTAGTATAAAGGATAAAAGGACATTTAAAAAAAATCCTTGAAGCTGTCCATGTATCTTTCTGAGAGATTTGGATCTAGATTCAGCTTTAGAAAGTGGTGGTTTATTGCATTTACTCCCATTTAATCACAGAAAAACATTCATACATTAAAAATCATATACTGTCATTGCTGCACTGGCATGATAGTACTTCAGAAATGGCTCACAACGATTCAAAGATTTGTTTTATGAATCATAGCATTCGTTACTTAGAGTGGGACTCGATGTGTTTTCCTGTAAGAGCTGACCAGACCTTTGTACACACATAGTGGGAGATCGTGTTTTACGTTTTCAATGTATAAAGCTCAAAAACCTAACTGTACACATAGAAAGAGAGATCACAGTAAGTTTCCATTTACACATATGGCGCAATGCTGCCACCACGTGGTAATAGGTAACACTGCATAGGGCTTTTTTTGTGTGATCATCTTGTTTTTATTTTTTTTATTTTATTGATTTATCTTTTGAAAACAAATTAAAATATTTCTAAAATGCTCATTTTAAAAAGTTGCTCTTTTCAGTTTTCCCTTGCTTTTAACAAGAGCAAGAAGCCTTGAAAGCATAAAAGTAGACAAGAGTTTAAGTAGACCTCAAGGTTTTTTTTGTTCGATTTTCATTTTTTTGGTTTTTAAATATTCACAAAAGCACCGTAATTGACATTTATTTATTATATATAGACTGTTAGCAAAGAGCAGGGATAGGAGAGCCCGAACACTAAAACATTTTGGTTTTGTTCGAGAATGTGTGTAATCACAGGGAATAAAGATGCATTT